GAAGAAATTAATAAATTCCTAGACACATATAACCTACCAAGACTAAATTATGAAGAAACAAAATCTGAACAAACCAATAAAGAGTGAGGAAATTAAATCAATAGTAAAATATCTCCCAAAAAAGAAAAGCCCAAGATTTGATGGTTTCTCTGCCAAATTCTATCAGATATATGAAGAACTGAGAATGCCATCTCTGTGGCAGTGATAATATACAGCTCAAGAGAAACTGGATCCCGCATGGTGACTGTGGTTAAAATTCCTTTCCCAGTCAGTCTGAAACATGTCAGACATGCATGTGAATGCCCAAGATGCAATGGGCTGGAGGACTAGAGAAAGGAGATCATACTATGACCAGACCCTGTGGAGGGTACTTGTCTTTCTGTATCCCTTTCTCTCTCATGTGTATGCACAGACTCCGTTATGAAAAAAAAAAAAATTAAAGACTTAATTTTTCTCAAACAATTCCAGAAAATTGAAAAGGGAGAGAATATGTTTAAATTTATTCTCTAAGGTCAGCATTACCTTGATATAATCCAGACAAGGACATAACAAAAGAAAACTATAGGCCAATATCCCTGATGAACATAGATGCGAAAATTCTCAACAAAATACTAGCAGACTGAATTCAACAACACATTAACAAGATCATTAATTGTTATCAGTGGGATCCATCCCAGAGATTTAAAAATGGTTCAACATATGCAAATTAATAAATGTGATACAGGCCAGCCTCACAGCCTAGTGGTTCAGGGAGCCAGATACTACATGGTTGATGAAACCTAGTACTGGTGGCTTGAAAAACATGCCAAGTGCATGGATGTGCATGCCCCAAATTCCAACAAAATGAAGAAAGCAAAGAGACAGGGCTGAGGCATGACCATGCCCCAATGAAGGGTCCTTTCTCTCCCTCTCTTGTAGGCAAATGTATGTGCCCTCAGGCAATTAAAAACAAGCAAATAAACAAATGTATATGATACATCGTATTAACATAAAGGACAAAAATCATATTATAATCACAATTGATAGAGAATATGCATAAGAAAAATTTGAGCATCCATTCATACTAAAATTTTTCAATAAATCGGGTAAAGAAAAAATGTGCCCCAACACAATGAAGGCCCTATATGATAAACCCGTTAACATCTACTGAATTAGGGAAAAACAATGAAAGTTTATCATCAAAGATCTGGAAAGATCAGGATGATCGTTTTCACCACTTCTATTCAACACAGCATTGCAATTAGGTAACAAAAACATAAAAGGCATCCAAATTGGAAAGGAAGAAATCAAATTATCCTTTTTAGTAGTCAGCATGATCGTATATACAGATGATTCTAGAGATCACCAAAAACTGTTAAAACTAGTAACTAATTCAGCAAAGTTGCAGGATACAAAATCAAAGTTTAAAAAATCAGTTGCATTTCCATACACCAATAACAAACTATCTGAAAAAGAAATCCAGAAGGCAATCCTATTTATAATAGCAAAACAAACAAACAAACAAAAACCTAAAAACAAACAAAGAAAAAATAAAAACCTAGGAATAAATTTTGGGGAGTAAAGTATCTCTGCATCAAAAACTATAAAACACTGATGAAAGAAGTTGAAGAGAACACAAACAGATGGAAAGATATCCAGTGTTTACAAATTGGTATTTATTGATATTATTGTTAAGATATTGATACTACTCAAAGCAATTTAAATATACAATGTAATCCCTATCAAAATATCAATGGAATTCTTTATAGAAATAGGAACAAAAATCCTGTATTTATATGGAACCACAAAAGATGACAAGTAACTAAAGTAATCTTGAGTAAAAAGAACAAAGCTGACAGTATCACTCTGATATCAAAATATACCACAAACCTAGAGTAACCAAAACAGCACAGTACTAGCATAAACGAAGACACACAGACCAATGGAACAGAACAGAGAACCCAGAAATAAATGCATCTATAGTCAACTGATTTTCAACAAAGGTACTAACAACATGCACTGGGTAAACAAAACTCTAATAAAACAGTGCTGAGAAAATAGGATATCCATATACAGAAGAATGAGACTAGACTCCTTACTATATAAAAATCAACTTGACATGAACTTAAAACCTAAATCTAAAATCCCAAACTATTACTAATTAATCTAGTAGAAGAAAACATAGGAGAAAGGTTTTTTAAAAAATTATTTAATTTATTATTATTAAATTTACTATGGGGGGGCATATGCTCACTAGAGAGAGACAGAGAAAGAGAGAGGGGGAAAGTGACCAAATAAGGTGCTAGGTCTGAGACTTGAGCCAGTCAGCAGCATCTTAACCACCATACCACCTGCTGGCCCCAAGAGAAAGGTTTTATGACACTAGTCTGGGCAAGCTTTTTTCCAAAAAGAATTAAAAAATTCAGGAAACAAAAGCAAAAATAGACAAGTGTGATTATATTGAACTAAAAAGTTTTTGCACAGCAAAGGAAACAATCAACAAAATGCAGAGGCAACTACAGAATAGGAAAAAATAATTAGCAATCTATACATTTGACAAAGAGTTAATATCCAAAAAATGTAAGTAACGTGGGTCAGCCAATGGTGTGGTAGTTAGTGGCTGAATCTCACATGGCTGACTTCCTGGTTCAAGTTCCAAACCCAGAGGCTAGAAAAGTATGCACTCCCATGTGCATGTATGACCAAAATTCCAAGAGGAGAATGGGGGTGAAGACTGCCATGTAGTCGCTTCCCTGGAAGTTGATTTCTCACTCCCCTCCTCATCTTTTTCTGGCAACTGCATGCACATTATAGCAAAATAAACCAAACACACAAAAACCACACATACAAAAACAAAATATATAAGGAATCTAAAGAACCCAACAGCAAGAAAATAAATATCCCTATTTTAAAATGGACAAAAGGGGACAGCAGGTGGCACAGTGGTTAAGGGCGCTGAACTCCCACATGGCTGACTGTGGTTCGAGTCCCAGACCTGGAAGTTTGCGTGCGTTCTTGCTCTCTCGCACTCTCTCTCTCTCTCCCCCTTCTCTCCTCCCTCCCTCTCTCTCCCTTTGGGCAAATTAAAATAAATAAAGTTTAATTCTTTTTTAAAAAAGACAAAAGGTGTTAATAAACATTCCTTAAATGAAACAAATGGCCAACAGTTACATGAAAAAATGTTCAGCAATGATCATCATCAGGGATATGTATATGAAAACCGCAACGAGGGGCCATCAGGTAGCATAGCAGTTAAGGCACTGGAGTCCTACATAGTTGATAGAGTGGTAGAGTCCCAGACCCAGTGGCATGAAACTCATGCCAGGCATGCATGTGTGCCCAAAATCCTGAGAGGAGAATGGAGATGGAATCGTAACATGGCCATCCCCTTGAGGGGTGATTTCTCACTTTCTGTCTGTCTCTCTCTCTCCAGTGAGCACATGCAACCTATAGCAAAAATCTCTCAAATATAAAACAAAACAAAACAAGCAAACAAAGAGACAACACAGTGAGCTATGAACTCACTCCAGTTAGAATGGCTATTAACAAAAAGATAAAAGACAAATGTTGAAAAGATATGAAGAAAAGAGAACCCTTAGCACACTAATGGTGGGGATGTAAATTAGGAAAATTAGGATAGCCATTATGGAAAACAATAAAGAGGTTTAACAAAAAATTAAAAACAGAACTACCATATGATCAGCAATCCTACTTCTGGGTACATATCCAAAGGAAATGAAATCAGTATGTTGAAGAGATAACTGCACTCTCATGTTCAGTGCAACACTACTCACAATAGTTAAAATTTGGAATCAACTTAAATTTCCAACAATGGATAATGTGGTACGGATACATATAGAATATTATTCAGCCATAAAAAAGAATGAAATCCTATCAATAATGGTACATGAATGAGCAAGAAAGATACTATGCTAAGAAAAATAAATCAAACACAAGAAAAAAAATACTGTATGATCTCCTCCATATGTAGACTTTACAAAAGTTGACCTAATGTAAGTAGAGGGGTTAAAAAGTGGTTACCAGAGACTATGGTAGGAAAAGAGAAAGGGAAGATGGAAAGAAGCTGGTCAAAATGTACAAAGTTCTGGGACCAGCAGATGGCATAATGGTTATGTCGCTGGACTCTCATGTAGTTGACCACAATTCGAGTCCTGAACCTGACGACTTAAAACTTATGCCAGGCGAGTACCCAAAATCATGAGAGAAGAATAGAGAAGAAGGGACTGCAGCATGGTCAATCCCCCTGTGTGGTGACTTATTGCTTTTTGTCTATCTCTGTCTCTCAAGAAAAAAGTACAAAGTTCCAATTAGATAGGAAATGTAAGTTCTAGTGTTCTATAGCATAGTAGGGTAACTACAGTTAACAGTAATTTAAGTATATTTTAAAATATCTAGAAAAGATGGTTCTAAATGTTCTCACCTCAAAGAAGTGATACAACTGATGTATGCATTAACTACTCTGATTTGATCATTGTACAGTGTATGAAAGTATCAAAACACCACATTGAACCTCACGAATATGTACAATTTTTTTAATTTTAAAAATTAAAATAATGAAAAAATATATGCTTTGTGAATTCCAGCAAATATTTAAATGCTATGCTCTCATGTTAAGAAATTTGAATAAGAAGGCGATGGCCCTATAGCCTAGTAGTTAAGGGTGCCAGATCTCACATGGCCAACTGTGTTTTGAACCCTGGCCCTGGTGGCTTGAAAAGCATGCCAAGTGTATATATCAGCATATGCCAAATCCTGATAGAATGGAAAAAATGGAAAAGGGACCATAGCATGGACACACCCCAGTAGGGGGTGTTTTCTCTGTTGGCAAGCACATGTGGCCTCTGGCAATTAAAAAAAACTTGAATTAGAAGGTAGGTAATAAATAACTAGAAAATAAACACATTCCTAGATTTGGTATAAATAAACTTATTTCTGTAATTAAATAACTTAAAATGTTTTACAATTTTTTTCTATTTTATTATTTATAGCTATAAAATCACCATTTAACAGTAGTTCTTCCAAGTTATCAGGATTTCGAGCAAGTTGCAGGATTAAAGCAGAACCTCGAACCTTGTCAGGAATATCTTCATATAATAACTCAATGTATTCATCCATGTCATTTATGTTAGCAACTTCATCAATCTGTCACAAAGGAAGAGGCAAGGAATAGTTACAACAATTTTCAACAGATACATTGTTAAAGGATTTGTAAAATTCTCTTATCAACATTCTGTACTTTACAATAGTATAAAAATGTTCAAACAATTCATAGTACCCATCTTTATAGAGTGGGATTTTAGACCTTAGAACACTTGGAATTGAACATGAAAGTATAAGCCATATAATATAATGAGATGTATACATGCTCTATAATTTCTCTATCAGTATTAAGTATCATAAATGTAATACAAAATAATTTGTGTCTACTATCACAGATAAAAATACTATAATAAAAATATTCACAATATGTTTACCATTTATTTATCCTACTAAATTATGTCTAAAACGTACAGCCAATAGTTTTTATCTTTATCAATTAAATAGTGACTTTTTTTTCCAGGTATTTCTAAGTTTTATCATTTAAAAAATTCTACATCTGATTAATATAATTACATTATTGGTGGTAAAGGCATCACCTTCTAGTCAGTCCTTTACTATATTAGAACACATGCAATCTTACCTCCATTCCTTCAAAAGGAGGTGGGTCTTTAGGCTTGTTTGATTTTTCTTTTTTTTCTGTCAAAAAAAATTTTTTTTTAATGAGGAGAATTCCGTTTTTAAGTTTTCTGGGCAATTTTTATTTTCAGAAGCTGAGTTTATTCTAGCTAAGTGGGAATATTTAAAGTAAAGAGTTGAGAATAGCAGATGGCCTAATAGTTATGTCACTGGACCCCATGTAGTAGACCGTGATTTGAGTCCTGGACCTGGCAATTTGGAACCCATGCTGGGCTTGTGTGCGTGTGTACCCAAAATCCCAAGAGAAGAATGGAGGAGAAACGATTGTGGTGTGGCTATCACTCTGGGGGTAATTTTTTGCTTTCTGTCTCTCTTAAGAGCACACATGCCCTATAGCAAAAATAATCTACTTTTTCTCACTGTATAAAAAATGCTCATCTATAATCCTTCTGTTCTAACAAGGATATCAAGGAGAGTACAGATAATACAGTTTACAAGTAATTACCAAGTTATGTAACAATTTTAACTTCCTCCTTGGTTAACTTTTTAGGGTATGTAAATAAGAAGACTTGCCAATAAAAAGTGAATAGTTTAACCTAAATATCCTCTACTTCCTTTCCTAATTAAATTTAAGGTGAGAATAGGAAAATCAATAAGGCAATGACTTGAGTACTATAAAAACCAAATGAAAATTAGCAAAGGAAAAGTAATAATTTGGGTAAATGTACAAGCTAAAATAAAAATAGTTATTGACTGATTTATTTTAATAGGTAAAATTAAAATAATAAATTAAGAAAATATTCAAGGTTTGCAGTAATTTAATCCTCACTTATTCTCAAATAAAGAGGTATTCACAGATTAAAATCTTAAGCTATTTAACTAATAGCATAACTCTCAACAACAACAAAAAACATCAAAAACACTTTAGTTATCTGGTTCAAAATATTTAAAGTAATATGTGAGCATTAATGTTAGAATAGTATCAAAAGTTTCATCTACAATTAGCAAATAAATATGTCTATAATAGAATTAATCCTCATTATTTTCAAAGGACAGGAGCCATACTGAGCAAGCTCATGGATTTTAAACTAAATTTACCATGACAGTAGTTTTAAATAAGCAAGAGAAAAAAAATCACTTAAGGTAATAAATAAAATCAAATAGGTTAATATTGTTTTGTTTCAATCACTTTTTGAGAAAGGTTTCTAGCTTTGAATGATCAAATACGAAGTTAAGGAAGAAATGTTGAATAGTTTTTAAAAAGTGTACACATTAATATAGTAACTCATTTCACACATTTCTATTACTAATATGTGGATGAAAAATATTGATTTAAATTACTTTATTCATGTAGTAGGACAAAAAGTATTTCATATTTTCCTGATTTGGGGGGAGGGAGGTTAAAATTTTAATTTGCCCTAAAATTCAGTGAAGATTTTCATTAAATAATTTTTATATAAATGCCCTCAGACTTATATTAATTTGGCACCATAGACACAATAATTAGTGTGATTTGACAACCCTCAGAATAGGAGAATATTTTTGTAAATTATGCCTCAGATAAGAGACTGATAACCAGAGTACACAGGGAACTCAAGCAGCTCACCTGAAAAAAAAAAATAACCAACCCAATTAAAGGATGTGAAAATTAGCTGAACAAACAACTCTCTAAGGAAGACATACAAAGAGGCAAAAAGCATATGAAAAAATGCTCAACATCCATTATCATAAGAGAGATATAGGTCAAAACGACAATGTTATACCACCTAACCCCAGTCAGAATAGCTAAGATTAAGAAAACAAACTGGTAAGTGTTGGTGGAGCTATGGTGAAAGAGGAACTTTCCTACATTATTGGTGGGTATGTAAATTGGTCCAGCCCCTAGGGAAAACAATATGGAGATTCCTCAAAGATCTACAAATAGAACTGCCATATGATCAGGCAATTCCACTCCTAGATATATACCCAAAGGATAGAAGAACACTCAACTGGACAAAATGGGTACACATCTATGTTTATTGTGGCATTATTCATAATTACTAAGATATGGAACCAACCCAAATGTCCACGAACAGATGAATGAATTGAAAAAATGTGGCACATATACTCTATGAAATACTACTCAGCCATAAAAAAAAAAAATCCTGGCAGTTGATAGAAAGTGAGTGAATATGGAAGATTTATTGCTGAGTGACTCAAGCAAGGCTATGAAAGAGAACATTATATGTCTCCACTAAACATATACAGACTGTCTGTACTCTATGGCGGAAACTGAGAGATTAGAGGACATAGAAGCATGGAAAATGGTTAGGGATACTGAAGACAGTGTGAGAAGAGGGTGAAAGAGGGTGAAAGTATGAGGAAAGAAATTAAGGAGAAAAAAGAGGCCAAGAAACTTATGGGACACAGAAATGGATTATTGATAATGTGTATAATATCCTCAACTGGATTGGTGTGAAGTGTACTCATGTTGGAGAAATATACTTTATATAAAAGTAAGTGATGTATAGTGATTGAATGTATAAAATAATTTTTTCAATGAAGGAAAAATTATAATGTATAATTCACCATAAACACAAGTAGATCTTAAAAGATAGGAACCAGCAGATGGTGTAATGGTTATGTCCTGGGAATCCCATCGAGGTTCAAGTCCTGGAACCGGAAGCTTAAATTCACGCGGGAAACATCATTCCCAGATCTCGAGAGAAGAATGGAGGAGAAGAGATTGTAGAACAGCCATCTTCCCCGGGGGGATCGCTCTTTTTCTGTCTCTTTGTCTCTTTCTCTCTGGTGAGCACACACACCTTACAGGAAAAAAAAAAAAAAAAAAGACCTGATTTTACTTTGTTTATGTTGAATCTAATTGAAGATGTGATCTCTCAGCCGACTAGCAGTGGAAGTGGCCTGGAATTGGAGCTGGGCGCTCCTCTGTCGCTTCTGCTGCCGCTGGGCAGACAGGCTGACCCACAGAGCTGCAGGTGGTGGGGATGACCCATCCAGATGAGGCGGAAAGGGAAGTGGCTAATGCAGGCGGTGGCGCTGGTGCTCCTGGCCCTGGTCCTCCTACCCATCATGGGGCTCTGGGCATTGTACCGCAAAAAGCAGTCAGACAGCAACCCTGAGGGATCCTGGGCAGCAGTGGCGCCAGCAGCCTGACAGGGCTCACATGATCAGCAAAAGAAGACATTTTTCTTGGGAGATGGGCAGAAGCTGAAGGACTGGCATGACAAGGAGGCCAGCAAGAGGGATGCTCAGCATGAAATGGAGAACAAGGGAGACCTTACCCCATGACCTACGCTAAACAATTGGATCAGGCATACCGGGAGACTGGATTTAACATCTATGTCAGTGATAAAATCTCCCTAAATCGTTCTCTCCTTGATATCCAGCATTCAAACTGTAACAGCAAAAGCTACCTGAAGACAGTCCCCAACACAAGCAGCATCATCCCCTTCCACAATGAGGGCTGGTCCTCCCTCCTCTGCACCATCCACAGTGTACTGAACTGCTCGCTCCTGCTCCCAGAGCTGGTCACCAGGATTGTGCTGGTCAATGACTTATTTCAGTGATCAAAATTTAACTCCAAAAAAATAGAAAGAAATGTACAATCCATCTGAAGGCCAGAAACCACTGCAGAGGCACGAGAAATATGAGAAACCAAGAAAAATATCTCTTCTAACAGAAAAGAATAACTCTTCTTCCTCCACAAAGGATACAAGAGAACTCAGAAGAATGTCAGAAAAGGAATTTAAAGTATTCATAGTGACAAAGCTAACAGAGATGCAAGAGAAGAGAGACAACTAACTCCACAAGATGCAAGAGAAAAGAGACACTGACTTTCAGGAGGTGAGGAAGTTCTTGCACAATCTGAAAAAGGAGATACACATCATAAAAAAGAATCAAAGGGAATTGGTAGAGATGAAGGATGTAATACAAGAAATCAAAACTTCCATTGAAAATATCAAAAGCAAATTAGATCATGCAGAAGATCAGATCTCATCAGATGTAGAAGAACCTCTGACCTAGAAAAATTCACCAAAAAGACTGAGAAAATAACCTCAAAAAATGACAATAACATACAAGTAATATTAGATATCATTAAACACCCAAACATCCAGATCATTGGTATCCTAGAAGGTGAAGAAATTAATAAGGGCATTGATAATCTATTCCATGAAATCCTGGAAGAAAATTTTCCAAACCTAGAGAGGCACTCAAATATCCAGACCCAAGAAATACAAAAGACCCCACATAGAATCAACCCAAGATCTTCCCCGAGGCACATCATAGCCAGATTGACTAAAACCACAGAGACAAGATACTAAAATTGGCAAGAGAGAAACATCAAGCTACTTTCAAAGGATATCCCATAAAGCTAACATCAGACTGTTCATCGGAAACAATGCAAGCAAGGAAAGATTGGGAAAATATATTCAGTGTTAAGCGAAAAACAACTTCAACCAAGAATACTATACCCAGCAAGATTATCTTTCATATGGAAAAAAAAGACAAAAATAATGTCAGAGAAACAAAACCTGAAAGAATTTTCCAACACCAGACCAGCTCTCCAAGAAATGCTGAAAGGAGTAGAGTATTATACCAGGAAAACTAAAGTTGGACACGCACAAGAAACAACCAATAAAGTAGCCAGACTAATGGTAGGGACAAGTCTGTAGTTGAATGTTAACTTCCAGAGTTTAAGTAGAAAGATAAGACCACAGTAACACTGCAAATTCAATAGAATGATTAATTTCGTGAGTCTGAACTAGTGAAATAGAATTTTTTCACTTTAAACATTACTGATTTTCTTTAATGATTTGATTTTTGTATTTAAGGATTTTTTTCTTCTCTTGAACTGTTGATAGGTTCATCTACCTACTATTTGAACTGAATCCCAACCTTCTTCCTGGCTTTAAGTTTTAAGCAAATTTCTCTTAACATTTGTTAATTTTGATCTAGTAAAACTAAAACTGTTTTTTTGAAATTAAAAATGCATTAAAAAACCTATTAATACCTATTTAATGACTGCAGTAAGCTACAAAGCCCCAGCGAGGTGTTATAGTATGCTTACTTTATTCACTGAGGTGTCATGTCTAAAATCAGACATACATTCATAAATATATCAGCTGTACTTGTTGATGAAAGTCTTTAAATTAATTAAGATCTTTAGTGAATCAATAAAATGTGGGGGGAAAGGGCATGGAAAACAACTGTACATACCAGAGACAGTGTAGAGAAAGGGGGGAGATGCCAGAAGTTGAGAGGCAGGGAATCAAGGGGGGAGAGCAAAATATGTAAGTAAAAAATAGAAAATTATTTGTTAATGATAACATGTATGGTAATATACTTGATTAAGTCAATATAGAATGTATACTGGATGGAAAATCTCATTTTGTAATATTGTATTGATGTACAGTAAATGACTAAATTAATTAATTAATTTTTAAAAAGATGTGATCTCTCATTTATAAACATCTTAACACATATATTCTACCATAAAATGTTTGTTTAGTAAAAATTGTTCTTGACAATATTTTCCTTATCTATATATAAAACTTATTAATTACCAGTTTACACTGAGTGACAGTTACATTATTAGAAGCAATCAAGTTCAAAGTGCCTATTTTCATGGTTTTTTTTTGAGAGTTTTTTTTTTTTTTTTGCTATAGGGCGCTTGTGCTCATCATAAAGACAGAGACAGACAGAGAGACGGCAAGCGGGAAATCACGCCCCCTGGGGAGATGGCCACACCGCAATCCTTTCTCCTCCATTCTCCTCTCGGGATCTTGGGCACGCACGCAAATGCACCCAGCGTGAGTTTAAGCCACCAGGTATGAGACTCGAACCACGGTTGACTATATGGAAGTTCAGTGACACAGCCATTACGCTAACTGCTGGTCCCAATTTTCATTTTTAAGTAAATTTATAGCTACTCAGTTAATTCAACAAATACATACTGATCATAGAATATGTGTTAAAGAAAAGTATATATTAGGCATTTTATTTGGTGTAGATGGAAAAAAAAGATAGATTATTTTGAAAAAAAAATCCAAAACTTTTTAAAATTTATTTCTACTTAATTCAGTCAAAATTTGAACACTGATACAGTATCTTAAGAGCATACATTGTATAGCTCAGCTCACCAAAGTTGAAAGATATGTAAATTTAGTAAATGCCATAAAATAACAACTAAGTATTCGCTAATCTGAGACCATTTCCACTGAAGTAGTTTTTTTCCTTTGTTTTTGGCTTAGATTATTTGAAAGTAATACAAATAATCTTCTACAAGTAATCACTTCTTTGGTGCTAATAATTTGGTTGCTTGGTCCTTTTTATGAGGGAACTGAGGACAAGAGAAAGGCAATGATAAAGACAATGAGTAATGAAAAATTATTTCCTAATTAAGATTCATAAAAGTTGTAACTTTAGGAGAGTTCAAAGCATAAGACATTTATTTTTACCACTTAAGTAACCCATTCAAGTTATAAATAAGAACTTTTAAATATATTATCTAGTTAGGGCTGAGAAAATAAGTTTCTTATTTTTATGCAATCAATTGGACTGACATTTTTTTTTTCATTCCTTATTTCACTGGCCACACATACAGACAAAATGAACCAGACTCACATAATTTTATGTAGAAGCATCTAATATAAAGTTTGGCACATAAGAAACTGGTATGCTTGTTTATCCTTTTATTCATGTATTCATTCATAGCACTGATAAAACAAGCAAAATAAAAACACAAACAAACCCAACCAACACTCAAATATCAAAAATGCAAACTATAGTCAACTCTGGTCTTGCATTACAAAGTCAGGATTCTACTCACCTTTTCCTGACAAAGAATCACGCCGGTTCTGCAGATAATATAACAGCTGTTCTACCTCATTTAGTTTTGAGGGGTGAATGAGTTTACATTCTTCAACCACCTTCCGTGCCAGGGAGGTAATATCTGTGTTGGCATTGAGACTCTTGAGACGAATGCTGCAAGTAAATCACAATTTCCTAACTCAGGTACTATAATAAAAGTATTAGATATAACTAGGTTCAGAAAAATAAAAGGCAATAATTTTCTTTGAGTACAACAAACAAGATAACAAAAAGAACATAAAATATTATATTTTTCTGACTCTCTAGACAGAAAAGCATATTCAAAGATCCTGTTTTAAGATAGCTTTTTTATTTTCTAGGAGGTTTTAGCCAGAGGGTGCGTGCACTCACCTGAGAAAGAGAGATAGTGAAAGAGAAAGTGAGAAATCACCCCTAGGGAGGGTGGCCACAACACAGTCCCTTATTCATTCTCCACCTGGCATCTTGGGCACACATGCATATGTGCCTGGTGTGATTTTCAAGCCACTGGATCTGGGACTTGAACCATGCTCGGCCGCTTGCTTCTATGCCATCTGCTGGCCCCAAGATAACATATTTTGCCTAGTCTGGTGGCAGTTAGCAGCAAACTGAACTGCAGTGCTAGAGTCACAAGGCCCATCACGTATTTAGATACCTGGGTCAGCTTGAAATTACACCTGGTGGGGGCTGGCAGGTGGCATGGTGGTTAAGAGCACTAGACTCCCACATGGCCAACTATAATTCAAGTCCTAGACCTGGTGGCTTGCTTTCTCACTTTCTCTCCCTCCCCCTCTCTCTCCTTCTCCCTTTCTGGCCAAATTAAAATGAATATAGTTAGTTAAATAATTCTTAAAAAGAAAAGAAGATTATGCCTGGTGTGAATGCAACATGCCCAAGATCCTAAAGAACTGAAAGACTAGGGAAGAGGGATTTTGGTGTGATGGAACCCTGTTGAAAGTGCCATTCTCTCTTTTCCTCCCTCTCTCACATGTGCTCTCATGTTCTCTATGATGACTAAAATAAACTTTAAAAATAAACAAATAAACTAAAATAGTCTTTTGTCATTCTTTTTAATTTCCACAGGGCATATGTGCTCACCAGTGGGGAGTAGGAAGGAGATAAAACAGCCCCAATGGGGCATGGTCACAATGCAATCCTTTTTCCTCCATTTTTCCATCCTATCAGAACCCATGACACATGTACATATGTGCCTAGTGTGTTCTTATTTATTTATTTTTTTTTTTGGAGAGGTTCCTCACTATAGGGCACGTGCGCTCGCCAGACAGCCAGAGAGAGACATAGAGACAGAAGGCGAGACATCAGCCCCCAGGGAGGATGGTCACGCTGCAATCCCTTCTCCTCTCAGGATCTTGGGCACGCACGTACACGTGCCCGGCGTTAGTTTTAAGCCACCGGGTCCGGGACGTGAACCGCGATCGACTACATGGGAGTCCAGTGACATAGCCATTATGCTAATTGCTGGTTCCCACCTAGTGTGTTCTTCAAATCACTGGGTTGGGACTCAAATTGTAGTCAACTGTGGGATCCAGTTTCCTATGCACAGGGTTTCTCTGCTGTGTTATGGAATCAATCCTAAAACAGTATTTCTGATATAAATGCATAATGACTTTATTCATTTTTGGATGTGAGAATCCAAACTACGTTTTTGGTTTTTTTTGAGACTATTTTTACTATAGGGCATGTGCAATTGCCACAAAGACAGAGACAGAGAGACAGAAAGCAAGAAATCAACCCCCGGGGGGGGTATGGCCATGCCGCAATCCCTTTTCCTCCATTCTCCTTTCTAGATCTTGGGCATGCACGTACACATGCCTGGCGTGAGTTTAAGCCACCAGGTCCAAGACTCAAACTGCAATCAACTACATGGGAGTCCAGCAACATAGCCATTATGCCAATTGCTGGTCCCAGAATCCATACTATCTTTTTTGTTTGTTTGTTTCTCCATCAAGTCTTTATTACTTAAGAATATTTTATATAATTTGAACAATAAGCTATTAAGAAGTAATCCGCAATTTAACAGATGCACAACTTTGGCTGAAGTTTCACTATCATTATGTAGGTATCATGCCTTCTAAGCCTTCTCATCACAGATTTAGCTATTTATTGCTTTGCGTGTTCCTTTTTTGAAACATTTTTTTCTTTTTTTAATACATTCAATCACATTATTTAGCTTACAAAATGAATTATTTTACATTAACATTTCTCCCTAGTATAGTTGATAAGACTATAAAATATCTTCAAAAGATAATACTACATTTCTTTGTCCCATTAATGCTTTGCCTCCCTATTTTTCTTCTAAATGTCCTTCCTCAGTCCCTCCTCTTTCACACACACTATATCTGGTATTTACATCCATTTATTGTGTGTCTATATCCTTTAGTCAATCAGTTTCAGTCACAGAGTGCGGACACTCAGTATATATTAAGTGGGGACATACGATGCCTCTCCTTCATAGCCTGGCTTGCTTCACTCAGCAGTAAATCTTCCAAATTCATCCACTTCCTGTCAAAAGCCAGGGTTTTGTCATTTTTTATGGCTGAATAGTATTCCATAGAGTATATGTGCCACAGTTTTTCTATCCAGTCATCTATTTGTGGGCATTTGGGTCATTTCCATGACTTAGCAATTGTGAATAGTGCAGCAATAAAGCTCGATATGCAAGCGCTTTTCCAATTAAGTATTCTTCTGTCCTCTGGGTAGATACCAAGGAGTGGGACTGCTGGATCATATGGTAGTTCTATTTGTAGATTTTTGAGGTATCTCCAAATTGTTCTCCACAGTAGCTGGACCAATTTACACTCCCATCAGCAGTGTAAGAGAGTTCCCCTTTCATCACACCCTGCCAGCACTTACCATTTTTTTTTTTTAATCGTCATTCTGACTGGTATCTCACTGTTGTTCTGATCTGCAGTTCCCTTACAGTGAGGGATGTTCAGCACTTTTTCATATGCCATTTAGCTATTCGTATATCATGTTTAGAGAGTGGTTTTTTTTTTTTTTTAACTCATTCTCCCATCTTTTAACAGGATTGATTGTCTTTTTTCGGAACAGCTGCTTGAGTTCCTTGTGAATTCTGGTTATCAGTCCCTTATCTGAC